TGCTCGAAGTGAATATATTATATATATGGAATAAAAGTTTATGGAGAAAATTCTAAAATTCATGCTAAGCTCCAAGTTTGGGACTGTGAAAGTGTGCTTTCAATATCTTGAAAGATGGAAAACGAGTGGCTTGGAATAAAAATATTGGGAAAAAGGGTTTTTTTTTTCGTTTTTTTCTTCAAAAGGATAGTGTGATTCGAGCCAAGGGAACAAAGCTGTCTCCCTTGTACTGGAATATGAATACAAAGAAAGTGAAGGATAAAACATAAAATTATACTCTATCCACATTCTTTCTGGCTTTGTTTGGGATGCTAGCTTGGTCACCTCGAAACTCCACTTCCAAGCCCTAGTTCAAGATCATCTCTAAGAACATAAAAGCCAATCTGTCTTGGGAAGACACAAGATGATCAAGAAAGTTCATTGGGATTTTAAGTGAAATGAATAAGTTAATACCGAAAATACTCAATTGATTTTAATACATAATCCAGATTGTTTTTTCGAAACAATGTTTCGGTACATTTGAAAGTTTTACATTTAAACTTAATCATACATTCCATTTTTACCTTTTCTTTTTATCCCAAACGATTGAAATCTGTAAACTATACTAATGGAATTGTAAACTATTTTACTCTCCCATTTGGGATCAAAATAATAAAAATGGAATGTATCTGACTTAAGAGATTATTTTCTATCTTATCAGACAAAAAAAGACAAAAAAGATTTTTTTTTTTTTTTGTTTTTTACCAAATTAGTTTGGTGGAGTTTGAGACTTCTGTGTAAATATGTCCTATATATATTGTTTTTACCATGTCACTAATAAATAAAGAAATAAAAGAAAAGAAAAGAAAAGAAAAGAAAAAAAACAAGAAAGAAAGAGCTAGAAAATGGCATTAAATGAAACCCTGCTAGCTGTTATGGAGCGGTAGGACATATGAAAATAGTGAAGAAAGCCACGGGGAGGAGAGAGACAGAGAGAGAAGGGAGGAAGAATAGGGACAAAACTGCTATGCAATATTGAGGAGCTTCTAACAAGTAGACAAATTGTATACTTGACCAATAAATTGTAAGGATGAAGTGGTAAACAATAATCCAATTTTCCTACTTGTATAAATAATCATCGAAATACTTATTAGAGGAGAAAGGAGTGCGTCTTAATAATCAAATAGTAAAAAATAATGTATAAAGTAAAAAAAAATAAACTATTTAAATATTTATCAACTTATAATTATCTCATAATTGGTTTAAGAAAGCGGAAATAAGTATTAAATGGTTTTAGATTGATGTCTGAATGAATGAACCACACACACACACACACACTGTTGATCTCCCATACCCTCTGCCAGAAAGAAGCTAAACTGAGACAGCCCAGTTTGTTTGATGATGATTGCATGAACAGCAAAATCTATCTGACCAAAAAAACTGTAGAATGAAGAGACATTTCAATAATTAATTTGACTGATATCCCCTTTTTCCTCACAGTCACACACACACACACACTAAGGACTTAATAAAAAGAGAGAGAGACTCAGAGTTAGAAGTCTGAACAATCAATATGTTATGGCCCTTCTCTGGGCTGTTTCTGTTTACTGTTTAGAATTTAGTGGCATTATACCAACACGTCAAGTGCAACAATAATAGCGCTGGAGGAATACTATGATACTAACCAACAAAAAGGGTTCTTTATTTTTTCTTGAATTATAAAACATTAAGGACGATGAGAAATTATGACCAGTGATCATTCTGACAACAAGAACAACTTACATGCATAGTTAAACCTCTCCTTGTCCCTGCGCTTTTTTTCGTTTTTTTTTTCCAAATTCTTTTTTTGCATATTGCAATTTGTCAACAGTAATTTTTCTTCTTTTTTTTTTCCATTCATTATAAGAACAGTATTGTACTTTCCTTCCTCATAATAATGTCTTGTATCCGAGTCACTTCACGTGTTGCATCCTGTTTTCAGAAGTTCATAATGGCTCTTTAATTCAAAAAAGAAAAGATATTGAAATTTTGATGATAAATCTTTAGATTGATTTTAGTACCCCTTGTGAATTTTTCCTTATAGGCGTTTCCGAATCATGCATGTACAGCTTTTAAACTATGTTTTCAAAACCGGATTGGACCGGACGGTCGAACCGTTAGCCCAGGAACCGGAGACCTTATCGGTCCGATTTTAAAAAAATGAATCGGATTTTAAAAAATCCGGTCAAACTCGGTCAAACCCAGACAAAACTATGGTTTGACTGAAAACTGATACCGGTTAAACCGGTTTTTCGTAAATATTTTTTTAAAAATTAATTTTTAATATTTTTTAATATTATTTTAACCAGTTTTTACCGGTTTCGAAGAACGAGCTAACCCGTCAACCCAATTAACTCACCAACCCGATCATATTAACGGTTCACTCTCCAGTCCGATTTTGAAAACATAGCTTTTAAACCAGTAGATTATGAACACAATAATACCCTTGACCTCCATTCTCAAAAAAAAAAAAAAAAAAACAAATACCCTTGACCCACCTCAATACACCGTAATTCTATCCAAAATTTGATATTGTATGATTCAATGTTTAATTTTCAGCCACAATGTTATGATTTGGGAGAAAAATTTAAGGGAGATATCAACATATATCAGGAATTGTACGTTTATTTAAAATGTTCTAGTACCTAGTAGTCTAATTAGTACGTACCCTCTCAATTCTACTTATTCATATCCGACTATTTTAGTTGTTGACAAATTAGACTTCTACTTTTGCAATGGAGACAATATATTACATCACTCGTTTTAAAATAATTGTTTAGTTTAAATTATTTTATATATAAATAATTGTACTTTTTCTGTTCTAAAATAATTGTTCAGTTTTGGATTCACTTTTGTATTATTTTTATCAAAAATAAAATCCTAAAAAATATAGGGCTTGTTTGCCCAACACTTATTTTGCATTTTTGTCTCCTTTTACCTCTTAAAATGCGTCTCAAACACAAATCTCAATACTATCCAAATAATTTTTTAATTTACCTATTAAAAAATATTCTAAAAATTATTTTTACACAATTTTCATCCACCACCACCGGACCACCTCCATCACCATCCGCCACCGGACTGCCCGCCGCCACCGCCGGACCACCGCCGACCGGCCGCTAGACGGCCGGATGCCGGCAATCCAGTCGCCGGCTGGCAGTGGCGGCGGGGCGGTGGAGATGGTTCGGTGGTGGTCTAAAAATATTATTAGTTTATTTAAAATATCACCCAAACAAATTTTTAAATTTTATCTCAAACCACATTAAATCACATCTCAAACCCAAATAAAAAATTAAAACAAAAACTAAAACAAATTATTGGCCAAACAAGCCCATAATCATTTCAGGACGGAGGAAGTATTAGAAATAAAAATATAAACAGAATAATTATTTTGATACTGAGTGAGTATTCTTTTGTGTAGCATTATGAGCTAATCATTAGTAGAAGCGTAAACGCATATATAGCTAGGCGTCTGCCTCGATTAGAAGCCTGTATATATCCTTGCAACAATCTTCCTATCTTCTTTTCCCTCCATTTAACGTTACTTTATACGTAACTTTAGCCGTATGTACATAATTAATTAATTAGTTTCCTACACTATATTCTCATCGGAGACTACAAAAATGCCCTCCATTCTAATGATTTTGGTTTGATTTGAGCACATTAACAAGTCTCAAAGGGTATATGTTCCAACATTGAACGCATCATATACATACATTAATCCACTATCCAAAGCAAAAGGAGCATCATATCCGTAATCCCCACCAAAAAGCTGATTTATTTTACAGGATCATGAAAAGCCCATCTCAAACAGAATTAAATTTTTGTACGTACGAAAAAAGAAAGCTGATAGTATATAAATATGCTATATAGCAAATGGTCTTGTTATCCAGTTGTTGATCACTTTTTTTGGCCAAAGGGGATGCAACCTTTACACTATCTATGAGATACTACTTGCCTTCTCTAAGCTTCTTATCGGATCATTAAAAGTTTTTTTTGACGAATCCAGGACCAAAAATTCCCCCAACACCTGGATATCATCTTTCATTCATATGTATAAACCATGCATGTTGATCTACTACCTACTATATTTTAATCATGTCATGTTGTAGCTATGTTGTTTGTACTTTTAATCTATCAGTCGATCTAGTACATTTTAACTGCATATCACATCCTAGGGATCAGATGCCCGACCATTTGGTCAAATCGGATTAGTTCGTTCAACTTTTCAAACCTGGAGAAAAATTATAAAACAAAGAAGTTAAAAAAGTGGATGAGAAAAACGCAATGTTTTAAGTAAATTTCACGCAAGTGATGATAAAAATAGTAGAATGAAGTAGTGAATTATAAAAAAAACCCTCTTCATACATGAGGGAAAATTACATTTTGGCACTTATATATCATCAACTGGATGGTTCATTCAATGATCCAAAGTCTAAATCGAGAATCATTCATATGAAATGATTGTAACCATTAAATCATTGATTGCACCAGTACAAAAATTCATTAAGTAGATCGCTTTTATAGAACGAATTAGGATTTGAATATATAATAAGAGAGGGATATATATATATATATATATCTATATATATATATATATATACTATGCATGCAAAGATGAAAAGATATGGGAGATCATCACCTTATGCATGGCCCTTTTTTGGTCTTCAGAAAACATTCCCCATGTCTGGCTACCATTGCCAAATAGATGTGTCTCTTGAGTATTAAGTCTTACCAACCAAAGCTTTAGCTAATTCCCAATGCTACAAAGAACCCATTATTACGAACACCGTTGCTACAACATAAAAGTTTCAAAACTTTCACCTCTTTTGCCTACTCCATTGAAATGCCAAGAAGCTTTTATGTCCTCAACTTTTTTTCCGTACTTTATGGGGCTGTGTTTCCCATGCCCACTGCCCATATAGTTTTGTTCTCAGCTGCCAACTCTTATTTTCCTTGATTAGTGAAAATGGTTTTTGCATATATGCTACACTAGAATTTAATTTATTGGTCAAAATACACATATGAGCCTATACTATGTAGCATATCATTAATTATATAGTAGCCCTGTAAGACAATTCAGGAAGAACACCGTTAAAGTCTTAACTGAAAGCAAAATGACTTTACATAGAGGCCCATTATCGAACAGAAAAACATGTAAAATTCCCTATTCAAGACCTTGGAAGGAATTAATAATACTAAGTAGTTCCGAGAATTGAGATACAACATTTCAGAAGCCATTTAATTATATCAGAAAAACATACTCTTTCCGTCCCAGAAAAACAATAACATTTTGTTAAACTATTTCTAATTTAACAAATTAAGATTGATAGTTAATTTTTGTGGGACGGAAAGAGTAGAATCCTAACTACTTGAACTGCATTGATTTGATCATGAATGCATAATAGATTGGTTATTAGTACCATCATCATCATCTTGTTCAACTTCAGAAGCAGGATCATCATCTTCATCAAAGCTGTTGACACCATAAGAACCATGACCATTACCGAAAGCTTTAATGTGATCTTTAAGTGACCTCTTGTGCTTGAAGTCAGAACCACAAATGCAGTACCACAGCTTCCCACAGTTCTTCTCATGAGTCCTCCAATCACCTCTCACAGCAAATGCCTTGCCACATTTCCTACACATGAAGGGCTTGATCCCATGTTTCCTCTTGTAATGTGTTTGAAGGGTTCTGAAATCTTTCAATGGCTTTGCTCTTGGATGATCAATGTTGTTTCTGCAACCAGGAGAACAGCAGTAACAAGGAAGCCTTAGCATTCCTGTTGGCTGTGTTCCTCTTAAGGATTCAGGCCCTTTTCTGTATTGTGATCCATGCCCCCACATATGCATCTGCACCGACAAAATTTTAATGGTACACAGAGAAGAGAAAATCCTTGGTTTATCCAAAAAAGAAAATGATGAAAGGAAAGAAAGAAGAATGGTACTTTGAGCTAATTATATCATGCTTAAAAGGAAGAGGGAAAAAATCATTCACAATCATCATCACATGCCAACTGCCTTTCTCCTAAAGTTGAGGAGTGTATATACAAAAAATACTAAATTTGATATCATAGTTTCTATTCTTGAACAAAAGAGAGATATAAGAAATGGGCATAATTGTGCATTCTAAATGATATTAAAAAGAAAAAAAAAAAAAAGAGTAGAAAGAAAGTTCATGGCTTTAATATGGCCTTTGCGCAGAAGATCATATTAAAAGCTAGGAAAGAAGACTGCAAAAATTTCAGTTTGGACACAGTTGCAGCAGATGTATGCCGACAACAACAGAGTTGGGAAGATGGTTAAAAACTTTAAAAGCACAAGGAACATTGTCTGTGTTGTTCAATCACATAAATGAGCCCCTCTCTCAACTGTCTGAAAACCTGACCAGATTAGCCTACTCAGATCATCAGTCAGTTTTTTTTTAAAAAAAAATTATATTCAAATGAAATGAAGAAAAAGAAAGCTAGCCAGCTATCCCCAAGAAAAGATTAATGATTCAGATAAATCAAAATTTTGAAAGAAATAGGATACCCCTTTCTTAAAGTTCAAGCTTTTACAAAAGGGAAGGAGGATTAGTCCTCTTTAAAAGACACAAAACCACAAAAAGAAAACAAAGAAAAGAAGCATTAATTTTTGGAGGAGGGGGTAATTAAAGACTAAAGACTAAAGATTTTCTTTGCTGTCGGCTAATACTTTTTAATCTACAATATATATGAAACTGATTAAACTTACTTGCATGTTATTGTATCTGTTGAAAGTTTTGTAGCAAACTGGACATGAAAACTGAGTAGGACCAATTAGAATCTGAGAAGGAGTAGGGATCCAATACTGCCCTTTGTTGAGTCTGTTCATCATGATTGGGTATCCAGCTCCACAAGCATCTTCTTGATCATCATCTTTATCATTATTGTTATTGGTAGTTATGATTTCAGCTGAAGAAGAAGAAGAGGAATACTTGAGTACAGAAGCCAGATCAGCAGGACTAGGGTTTGGTAGTCCAATATGAAGTGCAACTGTAACATTTTCAGCATCAGCAGATTCAGCAGACAAAAGGGTTTGGTTATCTTCCGGATTTTCCTTGGATTTATTAGTACTGCTACTACTACTAGAACCACTTGTCTTCATCATCAGCTCTATATCAATAAAGGGCTTATCTTTTTGCTGTGCTGCTGCTGCTTCTTCTTCTTCATTTTCACCATGTCTTCTAGGAGGACTATTTAAGCAGCTTAGGAGAGGAAGAACTTCTTTCAGAGGAGGTGATTGAGGAGGGCTGCTGCTGAAATTTAAGAAAGAGCAACTACTGTTGTTGATTATGTTGGAAATGTTGTTAGAAGAAGGATAAAAGGTTTGGATGTAGTTATTATTTTGAGGCTGATGAAGATGATGATTATGATGATGGATTATTGAGGAGTTTGAGGAATGGAAATGGTGAAAAGGGTTGTTGTTGTTGGTGGTGTTGTTGAGTTTGAACCATTGGTGATGATTGTAGAAACTTGAGTAAGGATCAGTCATGGTGGAATCAAAAAAGAAAAAAAAAAAAAAATTAGAGGTTGTTTTGTAAGTAGGCTTTTCTTTTCTCCTTGGAGAGAACCTTGACTTGCTGCCTTTTGAGAGAGAGAGAAAGGAAGAGAGTAGAAGATGGCCAAATAAGATGGTTTTTGTGATGAGGGAGAAAGTCTTTCTGATAGAGAGATGAGTGATGATTGAACAGTTCTCAAACTTTTTGAAAAGGAAAATGGTGAAATTTATACTCATCATCTTATGTTGTACTACTACTAGTAGTAGTAATAGAATTATTTTCTGCCTTTTCAGATTAGTCACAGTCTTCTTCTTCTTCTTTTGTCTTTTGTCTTTTTTATTTTTTTTCACCATCTTCGTTCCGCTATATAAGAGAATTGGCCATATCTATCTCTTAGAATCAAAGAATTTGCGAAGTATGTCTAAGTTGTGGTCTTGTATATTATATATGGTATTTTAAAAATTCAGTGTTCGAAACTTTATTGGCTTATTAATTTGGATTTGAGCCAAATTTCTTCATCACTTTTTTTCTTAATACCATTTCTCCTACCTCCTACTAGATGGTTATGTGAAATTGAGACTTATTTGACCCCAAGAATTAATTTCCCTTTTGCCTCTATCTTTATGTATGTATATTAGGCCTCTCTCTCCTGAAGAAAATGGAGGACGAGAATTTATCTCCTGTGGAGGATGATACTCATGACTCAAGAAAGGGGAAAAAAAAAAAAGAGAAAAAAAAGCACTACATGTCATAGTTCGGAAATTTCACAGGCGTTTTTGGTTTTTTGGCAATTAGTAAATTTGATCCGGTCAACTTTTCTCACTGTGGTGAAAGCAAAATTTGACAGTTCGAGTTTTCAACTGTCAAATTTCTCTGATGTTATTATTATTGCTTACTTCTCATATATATCCCGCGTCCACTCAGTATGATAAAATGGAATAAATAAGACGAAGAGAGTACCCTTGATTTTGCGAAGGAGTTACAATGAAACATTTAAGCCTTTGGGTTGTAGAATTTAGGGTCAAAAGGGTTGATTCAGGTGGTTGAACTTTTTTTTTTAAAAAAAAAAAAAAATTTGCTCTTGACAGTTGACACTTGAGTCAACTAAAACTAACATGATGAAACTTCGGTGAAACAGAGAAATATAATTAGTAGTTTTGGTTGACGTTAAAAACCTTGTTTTCAAGATTTACCCTTATTTGGTTGACGTTAATTTTGACCTTTGTTTTCAACATTTTCCAAATTCTGAACTGAAAGCCACTGCAGAGTGATGGGCAATGGTGGTTGACTAACAATGATCATGACTAACAATTGAAAAATCTGCGCTACCATCCTTGCACTTCAAAGCCCTCCCTCCAAAATTTATGTAAAACTAAAGAAAATGTAAAACATATTAAAATTTTTTTTGAAAAAAATTTATCTTTTCAAAAGTAATATTGCTTAATTAGTTAAGACAGTGATTCCGAACACTAAATGTGTAAAAAGAAAACAAATTTCCAAAATAAATGAAGATTTTTTTGGTATTGATGAGAAGGAGACTAATTCCTAAAATAAAATCATTATATTACGATACTTTATAAAATCATAATCTAACTACGATTGTCTCCCGATGATGAACCCTAGAGCCAAAAAAAAAAAAAAAAAAAAATCCAAAAGGAGCTAAAATAATCCCAGCAATTGTTAATTTATTTCACTATAAGACTCTCATTTGACATTTTAACCCCTTTTACTAAATTGGGAATTCCACCACAAATTTATAACATTCTACATTATGAGTATACTGTATAAAGTAAACGGTCATCCCCGTGAATATTGTCCTCTATAGCAACGTTTAGTTAAAGCTTTCTTCCTTTCTACCCCTAGAAAAAAAGACATTCTTCAGTGGAATCAGCACTACATTTCTCGGCTGCATAATCTTTCACCAAATAGACAACCAAAACATTTCTTCACAAAAGATAATTCTTTAAGTCTATTTACCCTTACCCTATTGAAATACACTGCACAAAATAAATAGGGGGACAAAATCCAAGTTCGTTTATTCAAAATTATGATTATGATATTGATTTCTGGATTGATAGTACTCCTCTGCATATGATTATTCAAATTATGATCATGTATATTTATGTCTTCATGTTAAAAAAATAATAGAGTTCGTGAGCTGTTTTTATGAGAATCTCTTATTCAATGAAATTGTTATCAACTTTCTTGTCTTGTTAGTGAAGACTGTCTAATGCAAAGTCACTTTCCTACGAGCTTTTCAACATTTTCCCAGAAATTTGAGGTCAATTTGTAGTTTGAACTGCTCTAAGCCAATGCACCAAGTCTAGGTAGCTAATGCATCCATCCAGATTTGTACATTTTTCTCACAAAAAAACCTACACTTTTATTTTTTGGTCTCTGGTTTCGAAATCGCACGAGTGCACAAGTACTTCGAAAACACCATTAGAACATGAAACTTTGTACTCCGATTTTCCAACATACTTTGCCTCTCCCCAATGCATTATCTACCATTTAAATATTTCAAAAACATTTGCGGTTTCCTAAAAGCACAAAAACATGCACTTGTCTTAAAATCTTTACCTAAGTCTACGACCATTTTCATTTCCTAGACCTTAAATAACATACCATCCTTCACCCTCCTATACCTCTATCTATAGAGATAGGGTTTGTCGCGGTTGCCGTTTTTGGAAACAAATTTGTTTAAGGAATGGAAAATGAGTGCACTACTCCCTTAGGTACTTTAATAAGAGTCGTTTCCAATTCGATCAGCATATTATTTTTTTTATTGTATGACATTTTACATTAATTTTCATCGTAATTTTAAAGATTTTGTTTCTTCTCAACTTTGCCCACATTTACTTTAAACCGTATTAATTGAGAAGAAAGAAAATAAGTCTTGGTTGAGATCCCAAAACACCTAGCATACTAACAATAAGAATAAATTAGTCGTTTACATGGATTCATTAGTAAACGATACTTATTCAAGAAATGGATAAATTCGTAAACATAAATTTTAATTATTTATGGTTATGATTCCTTTATTGTATATTTTCCGTGCAGATTTTTTCTGCAACAATCATTAGTAGAAACGAGTAAATGATAAGGAAAAACAAAATTAAAAATTTTTAATACTAACTTATAAAGAAGGGATGGTGCAAATATTAAAATATGCTTTCTTGTGGCTGTTTTTGGGCCCAAAAGTTAATTAATTCCAACTTTTCGAATGTGCCTCATTAATATAACGTGGACGAAAAAATATTTTGGGCTAAAGTAGGCCCAACTTGAGCTCAAAATAAGCGTGCCGAACTCAGTTTCATATTTGAACCATCCAAAATTGGGCTTCGCATTCATTTTCGAAACAGGAAAAAAAAAACCGTTTCTTCTGGTTATAATGTCGGATACAATTCTTTGATTCTTCCCAAAAATAAATAAATTTATAATTATAAAAGCAAAAAAAATTAAAAAAGAAAGAAAATAGAATAAGAATTATAAAAGGGGAAGAATTTTTGCAGCCACCACCTTTAGTACTTTCAACCACTACTTTCTCATTTTGACCATTTTGGCCCCCGTCATTTGACTAAACCAAATTGAAGGAGAGAGAGGAGGGGAGAGAGAGAATGAGCCACTCAAATGCATTTGGAGAAAATCGAAAAATCGGATATAACCGGGCAAGTCATCAGGTCCGATTGGTGATACTTAATGTAACTCAAATAATAAATTATTCATAAATTTAATGAATAAAGATTTAAATGCCTAAAAACTAGATTAACTAATTTTAAAAAAAAACAAAAAATCTAATTTTTACAAGTAATAGCAATGAATCCAATTCATATTTTTTTAATTTTAGACTTTAAATAAAAAATATTGCTATTTTTTTAATTACAAAAAAAACCAAAAAAAATCTTTAAAAAAATAGCAATGAATCCGATTGATATTTTTTAAAATTTTTAGACTTTTTTTTTTAAATAACAAATATTGATATTTTTTTAATTACAAAAAAATAACAAAAAAATCTAAATTAAAAAAATAGCAATGAATTCGATTGATATTTTTTTTAATTTTTATACTTTTTTTAAATAATAAATATTGCTATTTTTTTAATTACAAAAAATGACAATGAATCCGATTGATATTTTTTAATTTTAAGACTTTTTTTTACATAAAAATATCGCTATTTTTTTAATTTAAAAAAATGACAACAAAAAACAAAAAAAAACCTAAAAATTAAAAAAAAATGAGCCTGATCGGACCGATTCACCATATCGGACCGAACCGGGACGGGTCGGACAATAAAACCATTCCGAGTTAACCCGGCACGGGCAATGAACCCGCCCACTTGTTCACTCGAACGGGTTCATTGCCCGTCCTGGGTTAACTCGGGACAGGTGGTCCGCGCGTCCTGGGTTTAACCCAGTTCGGGTTCATTGCTCGTCCCGGGTTAACCCGAGACGGGCAATGAACCCGTTCGGACGAATAAGTGGACGGGTTCATTGCTCGTTCGGGGTTGACTCGGGACAGGTGAACCGCCCGGTCGGCCGGTTTTTTTTTAATTTTTAATTTTTTTTTTAATTTTCTCCCTAATCAAGATATTTGATTTGAAAAAATGACAGGGGTAAAATAGTCCAAATTTTAAATTTATGGCTGAAAGAACTAAAGTCGGTGGCTGCAAAAACTAACACCCTAAAAGCTTATAAAAGTTTTATAATTTATCAAAAATTTTCTAATCAATTAACCAAATTAAAATGACTACTTCTGTGAAACCATAATGGTGAAAATGTAGGACTAATATTTGAGAGTTGAGAACCACAATAATCAGTGGTGCAGTGGTGCTTAGCGAGATAGCAGATAAAGCTCGATCATTTGTTATTTTTTTTTATTTTTTGATACAAGGTACTCCATCATTAAGTTCTATATGTAAAACATAAATTCAAACTAAAATTAATCATATATATTAATACAGAACGTTTTCTGCATGTTTGACACAAAATTATGAGTTGATACAATTCAACTAGCAAATACGTACTTATCGATTAGATGCTTAACTTTCTTACATAAATTTTTAATTTAATCTTTTTACAAGTTTATGATAAAATTATTCAACTCAAACAAGATAGTGAAAACGTGATTTTCCTTTTGCCAAAACAATTAGTCCTGTTTGTTATATTAAAACTAGTAATATGTAATAGATAAGCTAGAAGTTTCGAAATTCTTCGAAACGAGCACTGATTTCCTCTTTTCTTCTAGCACTTTGATGCTTTTTTCATTCTCACGATTCGACTCGGCCATAAAAGGGCAGTTCACAAGCTAACTACATACTATCTTAACCCTACGTAACTTTTTTTATAAGCAACCAGATTACAAAAACTTACCATAATTAAATTATCAACGTACTCCCCCCACTCCAATGCAATTATTTTTGTTCGAATTTGTG